ACACACACACACACACACACACACACACACACACACACACACACACACACACACATACACACACCAGCTACGGTGGCGGTACATACTATTCGCTTCTCTCTATGAATATCCTCCAGCTGCTGCTGCAGCTCCTGCACTTCCTCCTCCAGCGTTTGCTTAGCCTTGATCGCAATAGACTTTCCCAACTCGGCTTCTTCCAACTAGAACAAATTCGTTATACAATCAATTAGTTAACAATATAGCGTAATCTTTTAGCAACACGGCCAATAAGCAATAGAGCCACAAGCAACATTATTTTTAGATATTATAAACGATATCTATAGTTATATATAGTTATATAGTTTATTATAAATAGGAAGCTGATTCTGTATCCACGTCTATCATTTCAGTATAATTATATCGTGTAATTATAAAAAGTTTGGGATTCAGTATCATTATTGTATTGTATAACAAGTTGGGGATTCAATATAATTATTTGTATTGTATAACAAGTTGGGGATTCAATATAATTATTGTATTGTATAACAAGTAGGTGATTCAATATCATTATTGTATTGTATAACAAGTGGGGGATTCAATATCATTATTATATTCTGTAACAAGTGGGGGATTCAATATCATTATTGTACTGTGTAACAAGTGCGAGAATGGGCAATGAATTTCGCAGCTTTTAGCGTCCCGCTGATGTCACCTGTTTTTTAATCTGCTTCACTTGATCGCGCTTCGGTTCCTTCTCTTGCTTGTGTTCGATGATGGACTGAGCATCCTTCAGCAGCGCGCGAGTCTTGTGAAGCTCTCTCTTCAGTTTCTTCTCCTTCACGACGTCGCGTTTGGGAGTCTGCGAAATCACGAGATCACTCCGTCATTCATTATCTATTGATCATCGCGTCGTTCACCAACAAGATCTCGTTGATCAGTCCTCTAATAATCATCAACAAGAGCTTATTGATGATCACCCTGTCATTTTTCAACAAGATACCGATAAAATTACTGAGGTGTGTGTGTGTGTGTGTGTGTGTATGTTGTGTGTTGTAGTGTTGTGTGTGTGTGGCGATGGCCTGTGTGTATGGTGTGTGTGTGTGTGTGTGTGTGTGGTGTGTGTGTGTTAGTATAGTGTTGTGTGTTGTGTGTGTCGTGTGTGTGTGTTGTGTGTGTGCTGGTGTGTATGTGTGTGTGTGCTGCTGTTGCTGCTGCTGTGATGTTGACATGTAAGCAGCAATAGTTAGTAGTATGGGCGTGGGTAGTACCCTCATAGACATGGTCTAAATTATCTGTAAGAAGAAACAAAGTGTTGTGTCGCGGTGTGTGTTATGTGCGTGGTGGTGTGTGTGTATCGGATGTGTGTGTGTGTGTGTGACGTTGTGTGTGTGTCGTGGCGTGGTGTGTGTGCAGTGCGTTCACGTGGCTCGTGCGTAGCGTGATAGTAGCATACCTGCTGCGAGGCTGTAAGAGTGGACTGATTCTACGATCGGACTGCAGGCGTGTGGTTTGGTCTCTCAACCAGCAGCTGGCGCTCGTCTTCTCTCCAGACAGCTGTTGGCTTCCAGTAGCTTCAACTACCGGCAGCAATGTATATTACGAATACACATACATATAAAAACATCAATACATGTATCCACGTAGAGGAGAGTATACATACAGACACATAGTATATATACATATATAATTATTTACTTTATTTCATTTATAAATAGGCTCGTCGGATATTTATGGTATGAATGAGTTGGTGTCAAAACGCGTCACGTGACACGCCAACACAACCATCGTCACCCTGAACTTACACCCCCACATGCACGCCAACCGTGTAAAAAACGCGCAATAACACAAGTTTATCCTGCAACGTCGCACGACTTATCGCCAAGTCATAAAGACATCACACATATCTAACAAGTAATTGCATAATAATTAATTTTGTCAAGCATTTATTCTATTAATAGCTTAATGCATCATTAATTACTAATTATTTGTCGATGTATTGTAGATTTGTACTTATTTGATTTTTCTATCGACTATTTATCTAGACTTGATTTTTTGTTTATTCTATGACTTTTACTGTTCATTGGTGTTGGTGAATGCATTATTTACTAAAACTGTAATGTGTTTGTTTTTTGTACAATTTCGGAATTGAAATATAATATTTTCGTGTGATCTTAGACTTACTTATTTTATTTTTTCAATTAATTGTGTGTGTCGCAATTTATAATACAGATAATGCAGACTATTTGGCTTCTGTTATGTTCGATTCAATGTCAATTGCGAGCGCGGTCGGCAGCTCGTGATTCTTTAAAGGACTGGTAGTGGTTAGGGTTAGGGTTATGGATTTTTTGCATCATTCTTGATATAATAACGGAAAAACATTGATGCGAGTATAGTTTGACTTTATGTGCTTGTATATCAAGCGCCATATGGACTATATCAGGAGTTAGATTATATGGGACTATTGATCTACTCCTGAATATAACCGTGTTAAGGAAAAAGAAAATTCGGCCGCATCGGTCCGTTTGCGTTATCTGTATCATATACGTTATATTATATTATATAATATTCTATACTATATATATATCTATTGCAATCTACTAAACAGATCGACTCGACGTTTAATCTCNACTACAAACAGATCGACCACGTTACCGAGCTACGAGCGCAGATGCGATCACGTGATGGCTCGTCATCAGTGGACGTGTGAAGTCACTTTCCGATCGCGTTTAATTAATTAATCGAGAATAGCTCACCCGCTGCATGGTTTTTCCCTTGATAGCATCTAGCTCGTTATCTTTCTCATCCAGCTCACGTTGATAGTCCTCCCTCATCTTTTCCAGGTTCTTTTCCAGCTTCTGCTTCAGCTATAATAGAGATAAGAGCATTGGTAACGCGGTCTATAGGTCCGTGCGTGCGTGCGCGTGTGTGCGCGCGTGCGTGCGTGTGTGTGCGTGCGTCCATGCGTGCGTTACTTTCTGTAGCTTGGTAATCTGAGCGTCCGTGCGTGCGTGCGTGTATGTGCGTGCGTGCGTGCGTTACCTGCAGCAATTGGGTGATCTGAGCGTACGTGCGTGCCTGTATGTGCGTGCGTGCGTCCGTCGTGCGTGCGTGCGTGCGTGTATGTGCGTGCGTGCGTGCGTTACCTGCAGCAATTGGGTGATCTGAGCGTACGTGCGTGCCTGTATGTGCGTGCGTGCGTCCGTCGTGCGTGCGTGCGTGCGTGTATGTGCGTGCGTGCGTGC